GAGAGGTTTTTCTGCGCACCAGAGGGGATGTGTTTTTGTGTGCTGCCTGCATCCCTAAGATGAGGCTTTGCGGCCGAGTTGCTGGCATGCCATGGAGCAGTGCCTATCCACAGACTGGGGGTTGGGGACCCCTGCATTCATTCATTCATTCAATTTCCTATACACCCAACTCTCCAAGATTTTGAGTGCCAAGAAAAGCAATAAAACAATACAGTAATATGTAGCCAGAAGAAGATATACTTGATTATAATGGTGCAAGGGCTGAACACCACCCTAAAGTATGAAATTGTCAGTTGTTCAAGATAAACAGATTCTACAAGTATGACTGGAATTCTATTTTATTACTATAGGCTAAGTACCAGACTCTTAGAAGACTGTCAGCAGTATCCCTCCTGCTTATATCCAAGAGAGTTTAAGGCACAGACAATTTAAATTTCTTTATAATGCTCTTTTCCTGTTCTGGGCTTAGGTTTTCTCTTTCTAACTGCTATTGGCAGTTTTTCCAAGGTCACTTCTGTGGTTCTCTACCAAAATGAAGTATGAAACTAGAAACATATGCATACTAAGAAAAATACTTTAAATGTAACCCATATAGTAATGCATTTACAGATTTCCTCTCCTTATATATTCTGTCCCCATAATGGGCATCAAAATAGACATATTCAGATAGTCCTTGACTAATGACTTTAATTGAGCCCAAAACTATGGTCATAAGTTGTGGTTGTTAATTAGGTCTCCATGTGCCTGATATTATGGATAGTCCTTGACTTATGACCAAAACTTCCATTACTAGCAAGAGAGTTAAGCGAATTTTACCTAATTTTATTACCGTTCTTGTCGTTAATGAATCACTGCAACTGTTTACTTAGCAACATGAAGGTTAAGTGAATCTGGCTTCCCCATTAACTTTGTCTGTCAGTAGGTTGCAAAATGGGACAACTCGCTGTGGCCAACTCACTGTGGGACAACTCAACAATTCAATTTAAGTATTTAAACTAATTAAAAATTAATTTACTTTCTGTCGTTCACATTTCATTTTGTCCCTCCTTTTGCATCTTTTGTTTAGTGATTCCATTCTACCCTTTCTTTGATATTATTGTAACTCTTGTGCCGTGGCAAGTTATTCTATGGCGAGTTGTCCCATAGGAAGTTGGCTGTGGTAAGTTGGCCATGGCAAGTTGATCATGCCGAGTTGGCTGCACTGAGTTATCCTGCAACATTCATGGTGAAGATTCTTTCTATAAATTCTGCAATAGCCATTGTAGTATGTTGTTATGTATTAAAATTATTTTATTACAGTACTTTGACTGGAAGGATGCTTTATCTTCAATTTGGCTACCTCATTGGTCATCTAATTTCTCAAAGTCTTGGAAACAGAACCTTTCAAGTTAACTATAACACATCACAAAAAGAGGAAATTATTAAATAGGTTTCATTTTAACTGAAGGAGAATTCAGTTCTAACTTTTGTTCTGACTCTATTCATTTTAGCCCCTAATATATGTACCTCATTGATTTATGACCATTTGCTCAGTGATCATTCAACATTACAACATGGCACTTTCAATGGGTCCTTGTAGCTCTGGCTGTGACAGGTTCCCCATGATCATGTGACTGCCATCTGGGAATTTAGCATCTGGTTCCAGATGATATAGAGAGTCCTGGTCATACAACTGCAATTTCTGACAGCTTCTCCAAGCAACGTCAGTGGGGAAGCCAGTAGAAAGGTGGAAGTTGTGGTCGCATGAGGTCCTCACTTAATAAACTGTCTGATTCTCATTTAATAATGGCAACAGGGACATCCAGAAATGCCATCACTAAATGACATGGTCACATGACATTGTACTACACGACCATATTGCTTAACAATGACAGTTCCACATTCAGTGGCTGATGATTACCTGTATGCAGAAATCAGAGCAGCCGTCTGCTTGGAAAAGATTAATCAGGATTTTAATCCTTTCCTCCGTAATAACTGGTTGTTGACTTTTACTTTTCTCATCGCAGCATTGTATTTTTGCGATTCTGATTATGTGTGTTGAGGATTATATACTGTAGTGCATTTTATATTGTGTTGACAACAACAATGCATGAGTAGAATAATTTACTTTGTTCACATTAGGAAGGGTAGGGTAGGCGTAATATGCACTATTTTCCTGGCTATTTTTGTATTTTAAATCTTCAATAATGACGCATCTGAGTTCCCAGATGTTTTAATCTTTATTAAAGATGTGTTCACACACTTTGCCAGAATCTTTTAAAAGCAAAGAGTGAAGTATTGTATATAAGGCATTCAAATGGATATGCATTTCTTGATCCGGTACTTCCTGCAGCTGGGTGTAGTGCTTAATCGCTGTACCAACAGAGTTATATTTTTTTCATGAAAGGGCAAATTAAAGAGCCTCGTGATCTGGCTAAGCATTTGAACAGCTGATTTCTGTTTATGCGAGGTTCTAAAGAAAATCCTTGAGACTTCAGGGACATAAGAATTTCACCAGGTACAGCTTTCCTCAGCCCTGCATGACCTGTTGAAATTCGCTCTTTATTCAGTCATTAAGCATACTGAATATTTCCCTTTCATGAAGTTGTAGAAGAAATGTATAAATGGATTTGGAATGTCCTGAGATTAAGAGTGGGTCACAAGCTTGCAAGTGGTTATTTTAAAAGCAGCTCTTGAGACTGGAAAGGTTGAAAGTAATTTGCTCTATGATTTATTACTATCAGGTACCTAACCTGGAGCTCTCCTTTACAACAATGGGAAAAGCTTAATGTAGTAGAGAAATAAGTGATCTTTTGGGGAGCTGAGCAGTGGGCAAAATTCTGCTTGTTATCCAACATGAACTTTCTATTTGTGTGCACGTGTAAGTCAAAATGTTGAGGTAGGTCAGTAAGTCTGGCTCCAGAATAGCAGGAACAACAGCTCCATGAGAAAATGATGTACTTACTTCCATTTTATTTCATTTATTCTAACATTTATATTGCTGCCCAGATTGTACCAAATTCTGGGTGATTCACAGCCCAGACTTTTGATAGTGGTTGCTTTTAAAAAAAATATTCACATTCTATCTCTGAGAACACATGGCTGCATTTATACACAACTTGTGAGGCTGTAAGAGAATGGGTGCTTGAACCTGGGACTCCAGCACTTAACTGTTATATAATGTTGACTTTTGCCTTGGGGCCCACTCAAGCTAATTTTAGAGTCATGATTTTTTTTACATTCAGTTTTATCCTTTAGACATTAATTTGTGCCATCTCTTCAATCTGTCATTTCGTTTAAAGATGGTGATCTTTGTGACAAAGCAGTGGAAAGAGTTGTTTTGAGCACTTCAGAGAAGACAGAGGAGCAGAGAAATGACCCACACTTTCACTAATGCTCTGCCAGTTTGGGTGCTTCAGAATCAAATATCACTAGCACTTAGACTTATATACCACTTCATAGTGCTTTACAGGTCTTTCTCTAAGCAGTTTACAGAATCAGCATATTTGCCCCCAACAATCTGGGTCCTCATTTTACCCACCTCAGAAGGATGAAAGGCTGAGTCAACCTTGAGCCTGGTGAGATTTGAACTGCCAAATTGCAGGCAGCTCCCAGTCAGCAGAAGTAGCCTGCAGTACTGCACTCCACTGCACCACTGTGGCTCATCAAATCCCATTGATAGACTTCTTCTACCATAGACTGTTTATTTTTATACATCTATCTAACTGGAAAGTGTTAACATTTGAAAGTTTCTTAATATAAACATTGATGTGTGGGTAGAAAAATAGCACATTGGGGATTTAAATGGATGAAAACATTTCCTTCTATCGTACATATTTTCTATGGGAGAGGAAGCTTTGGATATGGAATAGCATTCGGATGAATTCCACCTCATCCTAGTTATTTAAGCATAGTAATACTTGGGAAAAAATGAAATGGCAAGATTTCTTGCACTGCAAGACAGGCTATATTTGTTTCTTTAGTGGTCATTAGAGAGTTTCAGATTTTTCTCAGATTTGTTTATTTCTTAAAAAGTATTTGCCAAGTGCTTTGAATCATGTTGAGAACACAACGAACTTCAGAATGAGCTGGGTTTGATTGAGTTGGATTGAATACAAAGGTCACATATGTTTCTATTTCCTGAGTGGAGGAAGATAGCTCTCTAAGAATTTAGTGGCTGGGAATGAATGTGCATGTTAACTAACTCCTATGTTTCTTGCAGAGCAACTCACAATATATAATTGCCATTTGGTATGCATTAAATAATGTGCTTGCTGTATGTTAGAGTAGCAGGCTCCCAAATGAATGGAGCTGGTTTCTAGGGAATTATTTTCCACAAACCACTTGCTTTAATAAGCCTGAATTTATCTTGTCCTTCTTTGACGTGAACAACCTTTTGGGGGTTAATGATTGTGCTTAACATCTTTGGAAAGGGCGCGGTGGGTATGTGATGATACAAAGTGGGTGGGATTATGACATCTGTTTGAGTAGGGGCTAGGTGTCTTTTGTTTCCTTCTGGGGTTTAGGTTACTTAAAAGATGTTAAGTCTTTTTTAAAGGCTGGTGTGTCTGTGTGTTGTGGTGTGTTTCTTGCCTTTTCTGAGGAACCATGCTTTCAGGTTTGAGGAATTGTGACCATAGGGCGATGAGAAGAAGACAGCTCCCCAGCCTCCCCAAAAAAAGATTCCGTTCTCAGCCCTAGTTAAATGTTCAGTTAGTAAAGCCATCTGTCAAGGGAAAGGAAAGACTCTTCCATCTGAGTAATTGAAAAATTCAGTGTTTCCTGGTAATATAAAGCTATCAAATCCATCAAAGGTAGATTCTACAGGCAGGTAGTGTCATTTGGCACTGGGCTGTGTCTGAATCTTCATAATGGTGGTGATTTAAAAAAATGTTGAATAGAGAAGATTCTGAGTTTATGTTTAGGATTAAATATTGGTGAAATCAAGATCCAGTTCTGCTGATATTGGATATATTGATTAATTCCCAGCACACACTTCATAGTGGTTGCTTTTCTTGCAGGCGGTAGCAAGATTACAACAATAGACCATGGACTTCAACACGAGACACTGGTGATGCAGCGGCAGTGAGTATTTTCACACCAGCTTTTCATTTTTTTTAAAAAAAATTAAAACCTGTGATAACACCCTTTTTAGCCTCTTGTCTTTCACCTCCTTTGACTTCACCTGAATCCAGATGGCACTTTTCCCACAGGTTATTTGGTACAGTAGTATGACATTTCTAACAACATTTTCAGGGGGCGAGGAGGAGAAAAGGCTAGTTTGAGCTGAAATTACAGATGTATTTTTAGTGTCTATGATCACCCAGGACACAGCAAAAATCAGCTGCAGTTGCAAAGACAGATTACAAAAAATAAGAACTGAGTTTGTGCTGGTTGTAATGCTAACATTCCTTAAAGACATAGTGGCTCATTAACATGGCCATACTGTAAGTCAGAACATTGAAACTGCAACAGTGATAAAGTTAGATTTATCTTACAGGAGCAACATATCAATTAATTTTTTAACAAATGTGGGCTTTTTGGGGGGGCACAAGCACATGATATTACTGTTGTGCAAAGAGACACAGCTGGGAATAGGTGGAAAGTCCTACAGTATTTTCCTGGGACTAACAGGTACTTTGGATAGCTTTTGATTATAAGCACATTCATAAACAAAAGGGTCTAATCTCTGGTTGAAGACTTTCTTTAAGAGGTTATAGTAATTTTTCTTTCTTTCTTTACTCTTCCATCTCTTCCTCCCCCTTGGCTTTTCTAAATCAGTCTGTGAGAAATTTAGTTAGAACCTCTTGGTGACTGAAGGTCTACTAAGTTTGCTCTTGCTTCATGTCATTTCTGCCAATCCCAGCAATCTGCCAATTGTTATTACTTTTGGCAAATCTTTCAGCTATGAGCCATCTGCCACTTTTCCAGAGGTTCTGCTTACTTGCATCCTTTCTCCAAGTGCATTTGGGACTTGGATTGGACTTGATGACTGGATGACATCTGCTGTTAGTTTAATTCAGACCGCTGTGGCTGCTTGGATCTGCTGCAGGTCTCGCAGCTGATCTCAGTCACCAGATGCCTGCTGTGTTTGCCTTTTCTGTCGGTTAAGCTGCTTCTTAGACGCTCTAAATATCGGTCTTGTCTTATCGATCTTGTCTCCAACTTGTCAAACCACCAGTGCTTCCTCCATTCCTAGGTTTGAGATTTCTGGTCAGGTTATTTGCCTGGGCTCGTTGTGCAGATCTAAGTGTGATCACTTTGAACAGCTGGAAATTGTACACTAGTACTTGTGGCAGACTCGGTAAGTATTTTATGGAAGACGGGGAAGGGCTTGGTTACCCTGCTCCTGACTTTATTACATCAGCACAAGGATGGGACTGGAGCCTTTTTTGAGTGTTTGTAAGTTGGGCTACTCTGTACCATGTCAATCTTGGAGAAAATGTTTTTGGAGGAAAGTTGATCATGGCTCAGCTGTGTTGATTTAGGAGTCCAGTGTTTTGGGGAGAACATTTCCAGTCTTTTATGGGATATGAAATCTCTGATGTTGTGATTTCATCCTGTAATTCTTTTGTAGTCTCAGGCACCACAAGGTGGTTAAACTGGAGGGTCCACAACTTGGGGCAGATCTGTCACATTTTGAGGGGGAGGCTCCTTGTCAAGCCACATAGATGTTCGAGAGTTTAATTACAGGTAGCCCTCACTTAATAACTGCCCTATCTAATGACCACTTGAAGTTACAATAGTTTTGAAAAAGTAAGTGTACGATTGGTCATTGCATTTATGACTTTTACAGTATACATGCAGTCATGTGATCAATATATGGACATTTCACCAGTGGCAGGAACATACAACTGTTGCGACCTGCAGTTATGTAATTGTGTTCTTCACAACAAGCAGAGTTAATGGAGAAGATGGCAGTAAAATTGCAAGTTGCAGTCACATGAGGTCTCACTTAATCCCCTCGAGTGACTCACTTAACAGTAAAATGAAAAGTGATGACACAAACCAAATCCAAACCTCTGTTTTGTTTAATGATGAGTTGCTGATCTCAATTTTGGCCACTAAATGGGGACTATCTGTATTTCTAAGAATCTGCTTGCTGATGGAAATTTGAATAATGGCTCTGCTTCATCCATAGCTCCACCTTGAGCTCTCCTGGTTTGTCTGTCTCTTTCCTTCATCTCACTGTTGGTCTTCTCAAATAATATCTATGCTGTAATTGATCAGGTATTAGTGAGTACAAGATAATATCTTGATCTCTCAGGATTGTTGGGGGCAAAAGCCAGTAGCTGTCTGTAGTCCTCTATCATGCCCCGATGTGCTGTGCATTTCCTTTGGGGAAAACACACAATTTTGGGGGCGAAAGTGGACTGATTTGGCTGCTATTTGTAGTCACTTTGACAAAATGGCTTGCCATGGGGGAAGGTTAATGGCCACTACAAGGCAAACTGTAGACTGGAATCCCCAAGAATGTAGATTTGGCCTTTGACTAAGGAGAAGAAATCAGTGAAAAGTTAGGGAAATAGCAACTTGATCCTGAGAAAAATGGAAAAATCCATGGTGCCGTGATTTTGCTTCACATAAAATGGGGTAGAGGGAAACAAGTCATTCACAATTCTGTTGTTACACTCAGAAAAGTAAACAGCATTTTCCAGGGTGCTGCTTAGGAGAGTCCAAGCAAGGGTTAAATACAGCCAAACTGCCCAGAGCTGAATTGAAACTTTAAGCCACACCTCTGGTGCTGATGAGGCCCAGATTTTCAATTCAGCTAGCCCAGTTCAGACCCGCTTTAAGTTTCTCTTTATTTAGTTTATTAGCTTGGACTCTCTTGAGCATTCACTGTGAGTATTTTCAGTTTAGGGGTGATCAGGCTGAGTGAGTGTAATTAGATTTCTTTAATTCGTTTCTAACTCGCTCTTTGGTTCTCCGGCGTCCTGCTTAACTCCCAGGCGCTGCGGGGAACGCAGGCAGCTGCTGGGGCAGTTAAGACCCTCGCTGGGGAGGGGGAAAGCCCCGCTGAGGCTCCTGCCGTTGGCGTCCGTGCTTTTGGTGGCCGGCATGCAGGTGCGGTGCCTCAGAGGTCCGGATGGTTTGGCGGCTACTTTTAAAGTAATTAGAGTTCCCGATCGCCATTTTGGGAGCTATTTGCAGTTTCGGTTTCTGATTTCAACCTCGTGGCAACTGCCTGCAGCCTGATTCACAGCAGGTGCCGCAAGGAGCCACTCTTTGTCCGGCCTGGCTGGCAATTAGGTGTATCCTTTTCACCTGAGCGGCAAGGATTGGGGCCGCTGGTCACAAGCCTCATTCCTGCAGTGCTGGGACTGTTAATGCTCGCACTTTNGATAAGAAAATTGTTGACATTGACAGCAAATCAAGCATGGTTGGAAATGACAGGAGTGGAATGTTGAAAGGAGAGATTAACGAACTGGAACCCTATCTCAAACCTCAAAACATGAAAGAAGAAAAGGGAGAAAATTTGGTAGAAACAATGAGAGAAATTCTGGCAGAAGCACCGGTGATAACTAAAGGCAAGCGGATGGAAGGAACAAATGGAGGGTTTCGAGTCTTTACAAGATACGCAAGGAACAACAAGGTGCCAAGAGAAGTCCACATAAGACTTATCAAGAAAACAATTACAATACAAATACCACAAATGGCAAGAGATAGAGGAATGCACTACTACTGGAAGGATACAGGATGATGAAATGAAATGTTAGAATAAAAATTAAGTTAAACTTAGTTAAATTTAGAATATTATATATAAAATAAAGCAATAATAGTTATAGCTAAATAAATAATTAATAATGATAATGCATATATATATACACTAGATTGATAATATGAAATTTTATATAAATTGTAAGTAAGGACTATGGAGAGGATATTTAAAAGCTTTGTTAGAAAAGATAAATAGTTCTATATAGAATAGAATATAAAGATTTAATACTATTGGATGATTTCAGGATGATGTAAATGCCATAATATAAATTTATCTTAAATTTAGAATATTTTACATGAAAAGGATGTAATAATAGTTGTCAAATGAATGTTTAATAACTATAACAGTTGTGTACATATATATTAGAATGATGATATGAGTCTTTATGTAAATTGCAAGTGAAGACTATTGTGAGAAAGCAGAAATGTTTTGTAACCAATCGACACATTGTAAGTAACTGGAGAAGGATTTTTATTTTGTGTGTGTTTATGTCTGTTTGTTTTATGTTTGTCTAAAAATAAAAACTTTTTTATATGTATACAAAAATTTCCGCCACTGATTCTCCAGAACTGGTCAGAACCTGCTGAATACCACCTCCGATGTAATGGAAATGTGGACTGTGGGGAAGAACTTTGATTTTTAATTTGGGCAAGGAAAACCTTGGGACTTTCAGAGTCGTGTTTGCACCAGATGTGCCAATATGACATGCCTAATACATTTGGACTTCGAGGAGTGCTTTGGCCTCGGAGTTTTGATTGCATTGGGTCTGTTACTTTGAACCTTGACAAATTCACCTTGTCAGATGCAAAGCCTATCTTTTCCTATCCTATTTACTCACTCCGACATTCTGGTTCGGATCCGCTCCAAATTCCTGATCCTTGGCAAACTCTCTCTTTAGATCCGATAAGAGACAACCCTCTAGAACACTGGTAGCGAACTAAACTGTCTCTTTGATACTCTGTGCCGTATTTTCGGGCGCCAATGGGAATTCCTGGGTCAGGACAATGGCCAGCTGAAAATGAGAGGGGGAGGGAATGAAACATCAATGTATTTATTTCTCTGCAAGTACAATTTCTGCATTACCGCCGTTCCCAAGCACTCAAGGTGGTAAAACAGTTAAACCAAACATCGAATATCGTCAATGTATGATACAAACTCTTTGAGAAATCATTGGTTTTCAGTTCTATCGTTCTAGAGCAGCGTTTCTCAAACCTTGGCAATTTGAAGATGTGTGGACTTCAAGAATGTTAAGAATTAAGGGAATAACAGATTTGGAGGGGACCTTGGAGGTCTTCTAGTCCAACTCCCTGCCCAAGCAAGAGACTCATTCCAGACAAATGGCTGTCCAATCTCTTCTTAAAAACTTCCAGTTGAT